GAACTCCGCTTCAGTCGCCATGTTCAACAAACTCGACATTGTGGTGTGTGTCGTACGCTACTCAGTGCTGATTGGCTCGGTTAGAATTCTCACAGGGTGGGGTTATTTTAATAGGAGAGTTACCAGACTCTTTCTCTGTGCAAAATTGAATAGAGGAGGAGTTTGGCAGACCAGGCTAGGTTATCACACCAGGATTTTCCCCAGGGCCAGGAATGGTGACAGTGACTATGTGACAGAGAGGGCAAATAGTTTAGCTACCTATAATTGTGCAGTGATCCTCCAGGCTTTAAAATGTGTGGATCAGTCATTGAATCAATACATTTGCAGTGGTCTCTAGTAGGAGAAGTTACCCACATCACAGCTGAGCTTCAGACTGCAGATTTTGAAGTCTTATTTCCTGATATTTGGACGTCTTGCCTCTGATTGGCTAAGAGCAATGTGACTCAACCCCTGATTGTTTCCTTTGACTGTATCAAAGGACTGTTTCTTGACTCCTTTTGCTCTGCAACATTGACATTTTCTCTCCACAAATAACACAAGTCTGGAAGAGGTCTGCTGTGTGGTGAAGTTGCTAATGCTAATGGTTAGCTTCAACTAATTGTGATGCTGTCTGCTGTTTCCTGGACACCAAACCACCAAAGCCTTCCCCATCATGGGTGAGACCATGAATGTTAAGTGACAGTGTGACGTAGAATATTTTATATTTGAGGATCTGCCTCATCATCATCTTCCTCCTGTTTATCATCATCACTGATGGTGAGATTGGTTGGCACGATAACTGTCCTTCATTTTTCAGAGAAATCTTAGTTTAAAACTGCAAAATAAATTCAATATCATAATATTTATCATTACTGTTACCATGAATATTAAGATTATGTCTAAAAAACAACAGATTTTACCTAAAAATATTCATAAGTGATTTTAATAGTTCAGGGCGTATGTTCAAATATGGCAGATTTGATTTTCATGCAAAGATTTCACCAACTTTAACATTTACAACACATATACCCTCATTTAGCATAACTAGTTAAATTGGTGATGTGAGTTTCATAAACCTAGCATTGTTAGTTTTAGAGATCTGACCATAAACACGAGGAAACTGAGCAGATTTCTGGCTCTGCAGACACACCAATGTTTGGTGTGTTATAGCTCCGCCCTTATTGGTGGAATGAAGCCATGGTGCAAACTGTGACTAGCTTGATCTCTGATGATTGCTTGGGTGAAACCTCATAATTCTAAAAGTTTGTGAAAAGGTACACTTACATCATTTATGATGTGAGTGGAAGTGTCTAAATGTGGACGTTGGCCCAAAGGGTTGAGTCAATTTTGAATCAAGCATTTTCTATCAAAACCACAAAATTATTTAATCACACTGTGACCCAAATACATGGAAACAAGTTGTATGTTTACACTAATCTCTGTTAAATTGACTTGACTGGCTTTCTTCTCAAATTTGAACTATCATTCTATGAATAAAGTCTCCAAGTAAGTATTATTGTCATTTCCACTGAGCCTGATTATTTTGTGTTTTAATAGTAATGATGCTGTTAAAAGACTAAGCTGAAGATGTCATGGATCTTGGGCAGCAGTATGCCAATCCGGACACACCAATGATTACACTGTCTACAAAAAATGTCTCTAGATGTGCCCACATGTGTCTCATTGGCCTAATGCTGATGGTCGAAGTGTTACCCACATTTTCACTATCTGATCACTTGGCTCTCATGTTAGTCCTCTCTGTGCTGCTCACAGTAAACCCAATTGGGCCTGCCCAAAGCACAGGCTGAAGCCTAATTATACTTCTCCGCCAGCTCCGCGAGAGAGAGACGCACACGCACTCACAGAGGCGTTTTGTTTTCAGACTTCTCCGTCAGCTGGGGATTGTTGCAAAATAATTCCCCTCCAGGACAACAGAGGGCGTAGCACTATTCTGAGGAATCCTGCCACCATTATGGTCACGTATCTGGTCCACAGTATTGACGGTGCTGTTGACGAATAAAAACAGGAAGCAGCGTCCTGACCAATGTGGTCTCTGCCTCTTTCAACTGAGAGTTAAAGTATGGGGCATGTCTCAGTCTTCCTCTGCAAGCCCGTCAGAGAGTACTTCCGAGAGTGGAGGAGCAGCAGGTCTACTCGGAGGCTCTGACCAAGCTTTTCACCCAATCTCTAAGGAAGGGCTCAGAAACCCTGTGGAGAAAACGAATTTCAGCTGCTTGTACCCTCAATCTCATTCTTTCACAACCCATAATTCGTGACTAGAGGTGAGGGTTGGAACTTAGATTGACCGATAAATTAAGATCTTTGTCTTCCTGCTCAGCTCTCTCTTCACCACGACAGACCAGTACAACTCCTGCAGATGCAGCACCAATCCGCTTATTGATCTCTTGATCCACTTCTCTTGATCTTTCCCTTACTTGTTAAAAAGACCCATAGATACTCCACTTGAGGCAGGACCTCGTCCCTGACCCAGAGAAGACATTCTAGCCTTTTCCGACTCAAGACCATGATCTTGATTTAGAGGAGCTGATTCTCATCCCAGCTGCCTCACAATTGGCTGCAAACCGCTTTAGTGAAAGCTGGAGATCACGTTCTGATGAAGTCAACAGGAACACATCATCTGCAGCAAACAGACTCAATCCTTAGGCCACCAAAACAGATCCCCTCAGCACCTTGGCTGTGCCTTGAAATCCTGTCCATAAAGGTTATGAACAGACTCAGTGACAAGGGGTAGCCTTGGTGGAGTCCAACAGGTCATACATGGGCCAGATACCACTTACCAGCATCGGCTCTGCTTCGCCCAGCCCACCCCAGCCTGGCCCGTTCATTCCACACTGCCTTAGAAATGCAGACATGATTGAACACATGGGCGGTTTGTGATTTAAATAGAAAAACTTGTGTCTTCAATGTGGCAACTTGAAGCAAACTTTGTATGTGGTGGAAGCTCATTCTGGAGACGGGAGACCTGGCAAAGCAGCTGATAAAATAGAAAATGTGTCATTTAGGATGCATCTTTAGACACCTGGAACACCAGCGGTGGGACGGTCAGATCTGTGATGTCATGAGCGCATCTCCGAGCATGTGGGCGGGGCAAAAGAGCACAGAGAAGTCCATGTGTGTGTGTGAGAATAATAGCTTCAATCAGAGGCTCATTAACTTCACAGCATCCAGAATGATAATGAAACGTTTGCGGGAAGCCCCCGTGGGCTGATTCTATCCACTAATGGTAGGCGTGCTTTGAAGCCAGCCAATCAGTCAGCAGGGGGAGTGTGGGCCCTGTCCACCTCCTCGAAAAGAGGGCTGAAAAGATCTGGTTGTGAGCTGGAAAATTCAAGGCTAAATGAGAAAACTCCTAACCCATTCCAGGTGGAGTAGAGCTGATGCTATGGTAATAGGTCCATAACAGCCCGTATCAGAGGGCCTGGTACCCCAAACTCCCAAAGAACCCCTCACCGCATCCCACAGGGCCCCCCAAGGGACACGGTCAAATGCCTTCTCCAGATCCACAAAACACATGTAGATCGGTTGAGCGAACTCCCACATACCCTCCAGGATCCCCCTAAGGGTATAGAGCTGGTCCAGTATTACAGGGCCAGGACGAAAATCCCATTGATCCTCCTGAATCCAAGGTTCGACAATCCGATGAACCCTCCTCTCCAAAACCGCTGAATAGACCTTACTAGGGAGGCTCAGGACTGTGATCCCCCTGTAGCTGGAACACATCCTGCAGTCCACCATTTTAAATAAGGGGACCACCACCCCAGTCTGCCAATCCAGTGGAACTGCCCCCGATGTTCAAGCAATATTGCAGAGCCACGTCAGCCAACACAGCCCTCCTACATCCAGAGCTCTAAGGAAGTCGGGGCGGCTCTCATCCCACCCCTGGGTCCTTGCTACCGAGGAGTTTTTCTACTGCCTCAGTAACTTCAGCTCCACAGATTTGAGAGCCCAACCCAAAGTCCCTGGACACTGCTTCCTTACTGGAAGACGTGCCGGTAAGGTTTGAGGAGTTCTTTGAAGTATTCGCAGCACAGCATCCCTACTATAAACATTGTAGGTAGTGCATTGCTTTCCCCTCCTGAGGCGCCAGATGGTGGACCAGAATATCATCAAAGTCTTGTGGAAATCTTGCTACATGGTCTCTCCGAACTCCACCCATGCCTTGGTTTTTCCCTCAGTGACCACCTGAGCCATATTCTGCTTGGCCTGCCAGTACCCTTCAGCTACCTCTGGAGTCCCACAGGCCTTAAAGACCCAATAAGACTCTTTCTCCAGCTTGACAGCATCCCTAAGCAACAGTGTCCACCAGCGGGTTCAGGGACTGCCACTACGATGCAGGCACCAACGACCCTGCGGCCGCAGCTCCGGTCAACAATCTTGACAATAGAGGCACGGAACATGACCCACTCGGACTTAGTGTCCCCCGCCTCCCCCGGGATGCTTTGGAAGTTCTGTCGGAGGAAGATTATATTACTGCATAAAAAGAATGCAGTTAAACAACTTTTAACCCTAAAAAAGGAAATGATAAATGACCCACACTTGCATAGCGCCTTTCAGAATCAGAGGACTCCAAAGCACTTTACAATATAGTGCATCATTCATCCTTTCACACACACATTCACACACTGATGGTGATGAGCTACGATGTAGCCACACCTGCTTCCGAGCACAGGTGCCATCAGGCCCTCTGACCACCACCAGCAGGCAAGGCGGGATAAGTGTCTTGCCCGAGGACACAACAGCAGGATTCGCTGTAGGGAGCCAGGATCCAAACTGCCACCTTCTGATTACTAGACAACCGCGCTCTAACCTCCTGAGCTGCTGCTGCTGCTACCATTAGGTTGTAACATCAGATCTGCATGAGACAACACTACCGTACACCAACACCAGTTAAAATCGACTGCACAGATATAATTAGTTTTCCATGTAGGTAGTGTGTCGAAACAAGCATGCCCAAAATAAGAAATATAAACAAAACATTGATAAAAATCATAGGAACCTACCTCCAGAGGACCACATGGAGTCTTGACTGTGTTTTGGGCTGCTCAGACTGAGACACCGTGGATGGACAAGGTTCACAACACACAACGGGTGAGGTGGTAATGTCTCTCTCCGTCCTTAGGTTAAATATTTGCTGACTATCAGACAACTCCTCAACTGGTTATAATGAAAAGGCGGCAGTAATATGTTGCTATTGACGTCATGAAATGCTGATCAGCTGTTCTCATCAGAAATTAAAGTTAAAGTCTGTGTGCTATTATAGATATTAAGGTAGAAGTACAGAATGACTACATGAAGGCTCTTGTGATGTCAACACAGAACTCGGCTGTCCATCTTTTCTGTTGCAGTGTCACTTGAACCTGACTCACAGTATGATTATGAATCTGCCAACAAGCTCGAGGCTGTTTATTTTATATGACAACATTTTGTGTTTCACATGGTGTTAAAACAATAAATCAATAAGTGAACCAGGCAGAGTGGATCCATCCCAGCTACACTGGTGTTTGTTGACATATAAGGTCTTTATCAGGCTGCAGCAAATGGACCGCTGATTGCTACTTGACCTTCAAACTTAAACAGTTTTTAAGGAGTGTTCCTAACTTCCTGGTGCTCTACTATAGAATCGCTCTCACAGAGACTTACCATTAAAGCTTTGGAGGAACAAGCCCCAGGTATTTATTAACCCTGGCTGTGTCTCAGAAGACTTTGTACCTCACACCTTCATGAACAAGGCAAGACCGCGTCTGAGTCCATGTTTGTTTATCTACAGATGGTCAATAAAGCTGATTGTGTGTGTGTGTGTGTGTGTGTGTGTGTGTGTGTGTGTGTGTGTGTGTGTGTGTGTGTGTGTGTGTGTGTGTGTGTGTGTGTGTGTGTGTGTGTGTGTGTGTAATAGTATATACACATATATATTGCTCTCTGGTGGAGGATCTACAGATCAGCAAGGGATAATGTTATTTAAATGATATCTGACCTTCACTTGTATAGCGCCTTTCTTTATTTATTTTTGTTCCCGTGTCCTGTCTGGCTGTGAAGCAAACAGAATTGATGTCTGAATGCTGGTGACAAGCCTTACATATTCACTCTCAGGTGGAGCATCAGAGCTTCTGCTTTAATGTCACGCCTGATACTTAAAACTTTATTGTTATTGTTTTTGGATGCTTTATAATTCCGACCAGACACGGAGTCAGAGGTGAAAGAGAAAGGAAGAGACAGGGGGGGGGGGGGGTCCCCACAAAAATAAACAATCAATGATGAACTAGAGCAGTGGTCCGCAAATGGCGGCCCGCGGGCCACATCTGGCCTGCGAGCCCTCTCTTTGTGGCCCCCAAACCCCGCATGCCCCCACCCTTGACGGCCGACCGGGAGGTTTAGGATAGAGCTGAGGAAAATAATCAAATAATCAATGCATGAGATGCGGGCATGAACGATTCTGCATCATAGAAGAGTACCATAATCATTTATAGTGGAATGTAGTTTTGTTATTATAACGGCGGCACCAGTGCAGCATCCGCATCCGTCAGAGCGGTGCTCTCCAAATTTACCGGGTAGGAAAATTTGATCTGCCTTTATGTGGTACTGCAGGGCTGAGCGCTGGAGTTATAACCTGAGACTGAACCCGAATCGAATCAGCCCGACCGGTTCTGTTGGATTTGGGCCGTAAATTATGTTAATTGAGCGGGTTGTCGCACGGCGCTTTCCGCTCGCTCAATCAGCGACTGAGACAGAGAGATAGAGAGAGAGGGAGATTGTCTGCTCACACAAGAGAGAGGATCGGAGGACGCGCCTCCAAACACGCGTTATTATTTTCATAATTTCATTATTGTTTCTCCTGGAAGCGCTCAGTCAGACCGAGTGCTGAGATGTCGGGAGATCCGGTCTAGGGGAGGGAGCGGAGTGAGTGACGGCGGCTGCAGCGTAACCTGTCTCTTTTATTTAGTGACACGGAGAAGTTAAAAGGAGAGAGAAATAGAAGATATAGGTTCTTGTTCCACTTTATTCTTTTGTTCCATGATGATGAACTGATGTTAAATTCAGCTTAAAGAGAAACTGGGAGGAAGCTTTGGTTCATTTTAGGTTACAGGAGATCTTGTTTCCTATCTGCTCCTCCAGAGCCAGCATGGACATGAGGGTCACATGGTGAGGGTCACACAGGACAGGTTAGTGCAGTCACAGCCGAGCTGGAGGGGGACAGGTGTTGTCCTGCTTTATATTGCAAGCTTGTGTGTTATGTGCATTACAGCCAGCAATCCAAACAGCAGCAGCCCTGGGAAGCCAAGCGACAACAGAGGTGTGCTAAGATCCCTAGTCTCCCTCTACCTGCTCCAATACAATGTTAATGCATGTTGATGAGGCTGTAATGTGTAAATATGGGTTTTCTGTGCAAAAGGTCATTTGACTCGGCTGGGTCAAAGAGCTGGGTCGCTGAGAACTTTCACCCACAGATTGAGACCTTTGCAGACATGAAGTCTGCAAGAGTCTGCTGGAAACCATAACATCTGAACACCTGCAGTACCAGAAGAAGGAGTTCTCATGGACAAGTAGTCATAACATAACAAGTCTTAAAACTTCCTTTCTTGATTTTAATGTTAAAGAATAATCATTATCATTTTGCTCATTATAAATGTGTTTAATCAAATGAATGATTCTTATGCTTTGGGTAATTATAATGGATTAATGAATCCATACTTAATTAGATAATGTTTGAGGATGTTTGTTACCGACCTTCACACACACACTCAAGCACACACACACTCAAACACACCCACACACAGAAAACTCCAAAACACATTTGCTGACGCACACGTTTGCTTTGAGAAGAGAAAGGCTTTTGGTAAGTTTCAGTCTTATGATTTCAGTTCGTTCTTGACAACGAAAGAGAGAGGACCTGAAGAAACCGAAGGGGGGACAGAGCCGGTTGGCTCGTTTCTCCCCCCCTCACGCTGTTCCTGTCAGCCAGACAGAATAGCTGAATCGCAACTTCTAACGCAGACTCATACAGAGTCTTTGATTTCTGAGTGAATTAACTTAAGAAAGCGCAACGACAAAACGCTTTACCATCAACGTTTACCGAGGGCAACTCTGGACCGGTTCGCGGCACATCTTTGTCTTCTTTGCCAGCCAAGGTGCCCTGGATGAAACAGGTGACGTCCCGGGTCCAACAGGGGGTCCGATTTTCGGTGAGGCAGAACACGACAGATAGCGTTTTGATGCATCTTTTCCAACTAAACCTAAGTTTAATCAAACCATCACCTTTCACTCAGACACCTGTTTCTTCCTGAAGCAAAATCAGATGCACACACGCATTCATATCACGTCATGTTCAATTCTCACTACACTTTGCACACACACGCATCCATAACCACATCATATCACTCTCAATCTTCATTCACCAACAGAAGGTCTATTTGAGCAAGAACAGCATATCAACTGTTAAAGATTGTCCCACAAAGTTGCCAATGTTGATTGTTATTTCCTGTTTGTCAATTTCAAAATCATTAGTTTAATTTGAAGAATTCAAATTTTTAATTGCCAAACTTCTTTCTTCATTGAACTGAAACACAGACCCACGGATATGATCAACAGTTTATCGATGAAAACAACCTTTGAGTCTTCTTAAAACTATACAATTTGGTTATTAATTTAATAAAATTAATATCACAAATTAACATGTAGAATGGTTCCTCTTTCATAAAAGAGCATAAACCACAACGCTACAGATTGGCGAGCCGATCCAGACTTCTATATCTGCGATATATCCAATTTATTCCATCTAAAAGCTAATTTTTAACAAAATTACGCGTTTTCTCTGTGTTTCACTTTGATGTCTTATTTTGAAAAACCGGAAGTTGTTCTACACTGAATTCGGTCCTCTTGGAGACGTCCGGGGGACGGGTTACTGTAGAAGTTCCCATCTAAATTTCCGTTGCCAAATTAACCACAAATTTAGCAAATCCTGTGGGTTTTCCCATCTTCGTCCTTCGATGAGAGGCTGGGTGAGTCGGGTCTTTCACTATATTCTGTCCGTTTTGACGAGACATCGCGTCTCTGAACTCTTCAGGTCGGAAATTTAACTTTCCGCTCTGAACCGCTGTAGCGAGCTAAAAGCTAGCCGCTTACCTTCAAGCCATTTTACCTTCGCCTAGAAGTAAAACTGAAACTCCGAACTTTCGGGAACCCTTTGTCGCAGGGGTTTTAAAACTGTATGCGATTGTCAGTAAAATCTCCCAGATTTTACTTCCCGTCGGATATAATTCCGTCGGCGTAGCGCCTGATCCCCGCATTGTTGTTTTTTCCGGTGAACCTCGTGTGCAGTAATAGTTCTGACTGTAAGACGTAACCCGCTGGACGGCGTGAAGCCACCCCAAAGACCCTAAAAACATTACCTCGTCGCTAAGGGACGTTTGGTTAATCGGGCAAATTTAAGTCTGGTTGCACCAGACACTAACAAGCTTAGCCGAAGAGCTAAGTAGCTAAATAGGTTGACGCTCGGGTTACGCGCCCCGATAAGCAGTTAAACCCTTCTCTCGCAGTGCTTCTGCATCCTAAAATCCTCTTTGGATTTTGGCGGTGGTTCTTGTGAATCACTTCGGTTCTTGTAAATCACTCCGGTGTGTGGAATCGACATTTTACTACGTGGCCTTCAGGCGGAGTAAAACAGGAGTTTTATCCATCTAAAACCAACGCGGCCACGTAGGTTTCACTCTCTTTGAGCCGGTGAAAGGGTCAGGCTTCAGGCCTCCGTTCTGCCGGTTCGATGACTTTTTCTTCCATCTTGTGGTGAAGTTGTGTTATATTCATTTCTCTATCAACAATTCCTTGTTTTGCCCTGCGCCATAAAGTTAAGTTTACGCAATGGGAGGTCCTTAATTGTGAGAAATAAGGGTGCTTGACTTGATTTCAGTTCGTGCTTGACAACGAAAGAGAAAGGACCTTAAGTTAATTCACTCAGAAATCAAAGACTCTGTATGAGTCTGCGTTAGAAGTTGTGATTCAGCTATTCTGTCTGGCTGACAGGAACAGCGTGAGGGGGGGAGAAACGAGCCAACCGGCTCTGTCCCCCCTTCGGTTTCTTCAGGTCCTCTCTCTTTCATTGTCAAGCACGAACTGAAATCATAAGACTGAAACTTACCAAAAGCCTTTCTCTTCTCAAAGCAAACGTGTGCGTCAGCAAATGTGTTTTGGAGTTTACTGTGAGAATCTGTGTGTGGGTGTGTGTGAGTGTTTGTGTGCTTGAGTGTGTGTGTGAAGGTCGGTAACAAACATCCTCAAACATTATCTAATTAAGTATGGATTCATTAATCCATTATAATTACCCAAAGCATAAGAATCATTCATTTGATTAAAC